AACCTAACAAAGAGTATGTATGTATCATTATAATGATAATGTTTAGTTTCAAATCAACCAATCCAGTTTAACATGAATGACCAAAAGGGGAGGGCACAGTGCCACAAAGGTGTGAATGTCTGAAAATCTGCAGTGTGTACAGGAGTTTATTGGTCCATACACCTCTATTCACGTAGTGTGAACAACTGTCAATGTAGCTGGAATTTGAAGGACTAACATGTTAAATTGTAATACTGTACTGTATGCAATGTTGTCGTTTTTAGTTTCAAAACAAAAAAAAACTCATATTGAGGCATGTCTTTAGTGATTTGGTGCACTTGCAGAGTTTTAATAGGTAAAACGGTATGTAGATCAGGCCTGAGCACATGTAGAAACACACACAGTCTCCAAACACACATCTTTCAACATTTTGATAGAGATTTGCAGGGCTCTCAAGTCTCACGCATTCACAGTGAGACACACATTTGAACCAGTTCACACGCTCTCACGGCACACCTTGTATTTATCACACTGAAAAGGGATAACTTGCCCCTGTCACGGAGACACCTGCCTCAGCAGCCGAATCAGCCTCCTACACCCGCTCACAATCGCCTGATTATTAATCACGGACACCTGCACCCACTTACCACACCAGCCAAAAGCACACTCATCTCAGTCACTCTTCAGCTGGTCTCAAGGTTACAAGCATCTCAGCACGGGTTCCTTGCCTACCTATCAAATCAAAATCAATAAAAGAGCAATGATATACAAGTACTATAACAAGTCTCTAACGCAGTACACGTAGCAAAGTTTTTTTTTAATTATATAATAAATAAAAAGTAAACAAATAGAATACAAAAAGAATAGAGAAGCTAGTGTTAGGGTTTTTTTATTAAGAAAACAAGCAGTTAGTAAATGAATAGAGTGCAAATCTAAAAAGGGCAAGGTTTTTTTTTGTTTTTTTTAAAGAATAGAATTAGAATAGAGAGTGCTAGAGTTAGAGGATCAAATAAAGATGGAAGAGATGTGTTTAGCCGATTCTTGAAGATGGTTAAGGACTCAGCTGCTCTGATTGAGTTGGGCAGGTCATTCCACCAGGAGGGAGCATTAATAATATTATTATTATTATTAGTATATCATATCACAATATCATAATTATTATTTCTTAACTCTTTCCCCCGCCATTGACGAGTTATCTCGTCTTTTAGAAGAAAACGCTTCCCCGCCAAAGATGACTTTTTACGGCTTTTCGTGTTTTCACTGTTATACACTCGGGGAGCTATTACACATCTTCTGAACGAGGACAAAACCTCCCGAACAAAAACACACGTGTACAGGACGGAGAAACGAGCGATCTCTTATGTAAACAGATGCATATGAAAAATAATGCGATCATCAGCAATGGCAGCATATAAATGAAAACTGCATAATGTTACAGCGTAAAATGTTGATCCGGGAAGTGGTATATGTGTTGATAGAAGCGATTTATGCTTTGATAATCGTACTGAATATTACCCAGATGTAGTTTTTGATAAAAATTTGATTTTCTCACCTTTTTGCTCAAAATTATGAATTTTTATGAAACCTACCTATATTCAAGTGTTGACAAAAAAAGAATGCTTTAAGCTAGAATAAAACTGATTTTTTTTTTTAGTTTAAAAGTAGAGGCTCTGATCTTTATTTGGTGTATTGCATATTCAAATTTGAGTGAAAATCATCAAAATCGCTGGCGGTGGCTGGCAACGTTTTTCAAAAATGCTGGCGGGGAAAGAGTTAATCATAAATATACACTTCAGTTTGTTGGCAAGTTTCACAAATTTTACTACAGTCTGCACTTTTACATCTCCTTGAAGGTACGGTCGTAGTGGCTGTTTTTAGGTAACTTCTGATTATTTTGTAGATCACTTTTAAATGTAGTAGATGTGTGTTTTTTTTCTGGTGTGTCTGTGTGCAATAAATAATGTTTCTTAATTTAACTCATTCATTACTCAACTACTGTTTAAAAATTACTGTATGGCTGGCTTAAATGAACCCAAAATTGGTTGGAAATTAAAAAATCAGACACATGGTTATTAGAATAAATGTTTAATTGTTATTGATTAAACTTAGTAATAAATGTCTATTTATTAAACATATTAATAAAAGTTCATTTCCAACCAATTTTGGGTTCATTTTAAGCAAGCAATATGATCATTTTTAAATAATAGTCAAGTTATTAAAAATGAATCGTTAAATAAAACTGCCCAACAGGTTAGGTCAAACATTTAACCCAACAGCTGGGTCAAAACAAGTTTGACCATATTTGACCCAACTTGAATTATTTTTAACCCAGCATTTTTTAGAGTGTGCTGAATTGTCTGAAACAACTCGATATAATCCAATAACAGAGGCTTTGTTCTGTAACAGCAGAGCATCGCAATCCTCATCAACACATCAGGAAACGATCATTTACAGCAATCAGAACTGATCTGTAAGCGACAGCGATCAGCAGTATCGGCTCATTGTATCGTGTTAATGGTGTTAAGTACATTGCAACATTAGCAAACTCACAAAAGACCAAAGTTTTTGTCATTTAAACTCCTCAAAATAAGCCAAACCTACGTACAGTCAAACTAAAGTAGACAAAAAAATGCATGAAATTGAACTATTGACAAAGCTTTGCGATAAACAGTCAAAGCAATTTAAACAAAATAAAACATTTAGTAAAATGAATATTAACATGAGACAATCTAAACAAAAAAATAATCTAACAAGAAATAGATTTTAAACTATTTGCTATATATTTTGATATATTGTGTTAAATTGGACCCTCTTCAAGTACATTTAGTGCAATTTAAGTGTATTTCTTTAAACACGTTTACAATTTACTGTAATACTACAAGTACAGTTAGAATATATTTGAAGCTTCATTTTTATGTGCTTCAACAACATTTGAATAGCTTTTCAGCTCATAAGAAATGCATTATTCATACACCGTTATACTGTTTATTCAAAGTGATGTATTAAAAAGTGCAAGCATCATTAAATATAAATATTAAGACACACACACACACACACACTTGAAGTCTAGAAAACTTTAAAATACTACTTTTACTTTAACTTAACTTTAACATACTTTAATATAACTTACAATTGCAGTAGGCCTACACATGGTTATAAAGTTTGCACACTTTAAACCCACTAAAAGCTGAATTATTTAGCTGTTCTTACACTAAGTAAACATGAAATAGCCTATACTTTAAGTAAGAGTAAATTAAGTATGTTTTCTGTAAATACACTAACATTTCACTTGCAGTATGTTTGTGTTTTTGCATATTTCTTTACAGCTTAACTAAGCATGTTTATTACCAACGTTTTTGGAAAAATATTAAAAATTTAATTCATGAGATTTTTAATGCACTTCAAATGTTAAATGTACTACAAATACACTACTTGAATATCAAGCATATTTTTAATATGTTTAATTGTATGTCTTTTTTAGTTGAGAATGCACAAACAAAACACCCGGAAAAACGTACAGAACTAAACTGAACATTTATTAAACATAAACGCAGGCTAATAACACAGATTAATAAAGTAAAAAAAATAACTATACAAAATTAATTAAAACGTAAAAAGCCCTGTGATGAACGAAGTATTCACGGCAACATTTAAGCTGTAATTTCATTTTAAATAAATAAGCAAAGCTAACACAAATGCCATAAACGTCATGTTTTGTAAAAATACAAATACAAATAAAAAGAGAGTTAAAGAGTGTCAAAATATGGCTGTCTGCAACTATAAATAAACATTAAAACTGTAAAATCTACTTAAAATACATACAATAAATTATACTCTTCTGACCTAGTGAAAAAAATACCTTAAAACAATAAACTTAAACCGATGGTTTGTTTGTCTAACTACATACTGTGCCCTACAGCCCTCATTAATGCATCATGAAACGATCATTTACAGCAATCAAAACTAACCTGTAAACATCTGCGGTAAAGGCTCATTGTATTGTGTTAATGGAAGCCATACATTTCAACAAGCAAGCTCACAAAAGACAAGGTTTTGTCATTTAAAATCAGTTCTGTGACAAAATAAGCTAAAATGACTTCAGTCAAACTAAAGTATGGACAAAGTATTTAGTACAACAGGTGGTTACACTTTAATTTAAGATGATGTAGTAATTACTCAAATAATTACTGAGCAATTAATAAGTATAACATATTATAACTGGTTTACTGTAGTAAATACATGTAGTGACATGTAACTATTTCACCTTAAAATAAAGTGTCACCCAACTATATAAAATAAACTGAGTATAATAAAATCTAATTATTAAATTAATAATTATAATAAAAAGTTGTTGCAATTTGTCATTTAGTACGATTTTAGTTCAAAAACTTAAGTTTTTAGTTGCTCACCAAGGCTGCATTTATTTGCTCAAAAACACCGTAATATTGCAAAACATTATTACAATTTCAGCAAACTGTTTTCTATGTGAATATATGTGAAAATGTAATTTATTCTTGATCATTTTCATCATCATTGCTCCAGTCTTCAGTGGCACATGATCCTTCAGAAATCATTCTAATATTCTGATTTGTGGATACTTTTCAACAAATGTTGAAAACAGTTTATTAAACGGAAATCTTATGTAACATGATAAATGTCTTTACTGTCACTTTTACTTCATTTAAGGCATCCTTGGTGAATAAAAGCATTAATATCTCTCTCTTAATTTTACAACGGATGTTTGAATGTATCATTTCATTATTTCCACACACACACAAAAAAAGAAAAACACATGTACAGCTTAATATTAGTAACAGCAGCAAGACTTGACAGGCCACGCCTTATTGGCTGAGCTTCAGTGACATCACAGCAGGAGAGCCCCGCCCACACTGGCACAATAGATACAGGAGGCGAGATCTCTGCTCTGTTCTCTCACAAGTGTTAAACCTGTGATCCTATACACACTCCAGAGGAGAAGAGGGTGCTAATGCACTTACAAAGCTGGATACTAGCTGCTGTAAAACAAACAAAGAAGAAGAAGGACACTGCTCTGCATGCTCTACCATAAAGGAAAAAAACCCTCTTCTCATGCATAAGATGTGTTGACTGTTGTGACAATGGTGGAACAAGAGAACAAGAGGTGAGGCTTGCCTTACTGGTGTTTCCCTAACTTTGCATTTATCCAAGAATAAGCAGTTAAGGTCAGAGATTGTAGTTGTTGCATCTGAATTAGTACATGTACAAAACTTGGTCCACAAGTTACATCTAAATGTCTACAAATAATTGTGTGATGTTTTGCCATGAAACAGGACGTTTCAGTAAGACGGACAAACAATGTTCAGTCTGCACAAAACCCCACAGGTTTGATAAGAGTGCTTATCTGATGCACTCTTACACTGCAAAAAAAAAAGGCATATCTTGCTTAGTATTTTGTCTTGTTTCTAGTTAAAATATCTAAAATGTCTTAATTGAGATGCATTTACTAGATACACAAAATGACATAAGATTATTAGTCTTGTTTCCAAGGGAAAAAAACTAAATCAAGTGCATTTTGCTTAAAAATAAGTACAATTATCTGGCAGTGGGGTAAGAAAAATAATCTTGTTTTAAGAGCATGTCCCCCCCCCCAGACAAGCAACTGCAGATAATTTTACTTGTTTTAAGTAAAATTCACTTAATTTTCTTAAATTTCCTTGATAAAAAAAACTACATATCTTATGTCATTTTGCTTGTCTAGTAAATGCATCTTAATTTATGAATTTTTAGATGTTTTGATTAAAAACAAGACAAAAATACTAAGTGCGATAAGCCTTTTTTGCAGTGTAACAATGCATTGAAATATGACAGAAAGCATTAAAGGCAGGGTAAGTGATTTCTGGTAGCCGATGTTGATATTTGAAATCACCAAAACAAACATGCCCCTACCCCAAAAGGGTCTTGACCCTATTTTGATAGCTCCGCCCCACATATACGTACGCAACCCAGGCAACAATGAGTTCTGTGAAACAAAGCAAAACCAATGTTACACCGTGTCTACGGACGTGAGCGGCGCGGCGCAACAAATCCCCAACAGAAAACTGCTGCCGGGTTCTATTTATGACATGCTGACACACATTTCAAATGGTTTTCAACGGTCGTTTGATCGTGTCCAGTGTAGGCAGACTTTAGCTGTTGTAGACACGGTGTTACTCACCTATCGAGAAGAAACAAAGCAACCTCGGCGTCTGATCGCAGGCCTCCGCTCCTTGAGTTCTCTCCAGCGCTGGAAAGCTGATCCGATATTTACACGGGTCCTACTTAGGGCTGCACGATAAATCGCATGAGATATTTAACGCACATCTTATCAGTAAAGCCGTTTCTGTAATCGGCTGTAAATCTCCATCACGTGCGTGCTTTCACATTGAGCAGCATTAACTACTCTACACTGCAAAAAAAAAAGGCATATCTTGCTTAGTATTTTGTCTTGTTTCTAGTTAAAATATCTAAAATGTCTTAATTGAGATGCATTTACTAGATACACAAAATGACATAAGATTATTAGTCTTGTTTCCAAGGGAAAAAAACTAAATCAAGTGCATTTTGCTTAAAAATAAGTACAATTATCTGGCAGTGGGGTAAGAAAAATAATCTTGTTTTAAGAGCATGTCCCCCCCCCCAGACAAGCAACTGCAGATAATTTTACTTGTTTTAAGTAAAATTCACTTAATTTTCTTAAATTTCCTTGATAAAAAAAACTACATATCTTATGTCATTTTGCTTGTCTAGTAAATGCATCTTAATTTATGAATTTTTAGATGTTTTGATTAAAAACAAGACAAAAATACTAAGTGCGATAAGCCTTTTTTGCAGTGTAACAATGCATTGAAATATGACAGAAAGCATTAAAGGCAGGGTAAGTGATTTCTGGTAGCCGATGTTGATATTTGAAATCACCAAAACAAACATGCCCCTACCCCAAAAGGGTCTTGACCCTATTTTGATAGCTCCGCCCCACATATACGTACGCAACCCAGGCAACAATGAGTTCTGTGAAACAAAGCAAAACCAATGTTACACCGTGTCTACGGACGTGAGCGGCGCGGCGCAACAAATCCCCAACAGAAAACTGCTGCCGGGTTCTATTTATGACATGCTGACACACATTTCAAATGGTTTTCAACGGTCGTTTGATCGTGTCCAGTGTAGGCAGACTTTAGCTGTTGTAGACACGGTGTTACTCACCTATCGAGAAGAAACAAAGCAACCTCGGCGTCTGATCGCAGGCCTCCGCTCCTTGAGTTCTCTCCAGCGCTGGAAAGCTGATCCGATATTTACACGGGTCCTACTTAGGGCTGCACGATAAATCGCATGAGATATTTAACGCACATCTTATCAGTAAAGCCGTTTCTGTAATCGGCTGTAAATCTCCATCACGTGCGTGCTTTCACATTGAGCAGCATTAACTACTCAGAGCCGTTGTTCACTGACGAGCTGTGCAAAAAAACGTGTGAATATGAACGTGGGTACTTCTTGCCTTATCGTTCCGCAGACATTTTCCTCTTTTGTTTTTTATCCGCCATCTCTATCTTTCTGTCACTCGGCTCGGCTAATGTCCGTCCCGTGCGCTGAACGCGCTCTCCTCCACATCACGAGTAGACACGCCCCTTACTGCTGATTGGCTGCAAGCTTGTTTTGCTATTCGGCCCGAATCAGTTTTCTAAAGTGTTTTTGAAAAATTACATACCCTACCTTTAAACATGCTAGTAACACTTAGCTAAGTGGCAAAGAATGTTATTATGAAAGAGGAAGCTATTGTAACTCGAGCATATAATATCCATATCTATTGATTAGAGTCCTGGCCTGAAGACACCTACATGCCAATATTTAGTTATAGTAATAGCACCACCAGCTTGCCATATTTCCTGCTGCTAGCTGGTGGTGCTATTACTATAACTAAAAACTGGCATGTCTTCAGGCCAAACCATGGTTAATATGTGGTTAGTGTAGCAAAACCTATGGTTAATTTGTGGTTACAGTGTTTTAACTATATTAACCATGTTTTTTTTAATTCAAAAACAATGGTTAATTTTCATAAGGGTATTTAAAGAAAGTGTGGGGATTTACTAATTGAGCCTAGTCTGTGCACTTTCACACCCATTAACACCCAATCCAGGTAGATATGCTAATAGGGCAGGCCCTGTTCTGCATATTTAGTTTCTTTAAGTAACATTTCTTTATATAATTTATTTTTTCTCGAAGGTCTGTTGAACGCAACATTGTGCACTGTTTGCGGTGCCACAAGCCACAGGAGAGCCTCCCTGTTCACCTGGCCAGGGTGTGCATGAAAAAAAGCACAGCAGAGGAGAGATCGGATGAGGTGCAGAAGGCCAAGGCTTCCAGCAGAGAGTGGATCCGGAAGAACAGGACCTGGAATTACGAGCTGCTCCGTGAGCTCCTGCCTGACAGATGCTCTCGGATCACCATGGTCGAGGAGCTTCTTCGCCGTGGTTTCTTCATCAGGAACCAGCACGAAGAGTCCGACATGGTCTTGAACCCTGAAGGTGACTCGGCCTCTGTTGATGCTGCCACTACCACCGCCGAATCCTCCGGAGATCCTCAAACCATATCCCATTCTGTGAGGATAAAGAGGAAGGAGGCGGGTCTGCATGACAAGTTCCCTGCTCGGGCCAAGCTCCTGGTGGGCTTTAAAAAGTACCTGACTGTGTCAAGGAAGGTCCCCAAGTGGCAACAGGAGGTAAGATCACTTTTCACTTCTATCCTCAGTAGGGTTGCAAAGGGGTGGAAAATGTCCGGAAAATTTCTGGAAACTTTCCAAAAATCCCTGGAAGATTCCAAATATCCAAAATTTCTGGAATGTTTCCGAAATTTACTGGAAATTTTTTGCAACCCTGATCCTCAGCACAATTTCCCAAAGATGGGAAAGATCCTAACTTTAAAACCTTATCTTATCTGTTTGGTAGCCATGGTATTTTCAGGTAGGACCACACATTTAGGACAAAAACTATTACAGGACAGTATTTCCTAAGTGCGTTATCTTATCTTAAAGGGGTGGTTGTGTCGCGGCGCTCGCGTGCCTTGCGGTTTTTTGCAAAAGCCGATTTTCAAGTGAAGTAGCTTCTATTATTTTGTTTACCTCATCAGCAGCTCGCGCAGTGTTGGTTGCTTGGTAACAGACCCGAGAGTGGTTTGTCGAACTTGATAATGCAATTTAAAATGTCCTAACTAGAGATAAAACACGATTTTGTAAGATAGGATAAGAATCCCAAATCAAGTTGAGATTTGCTTCTGTATTACGAATTTGCGTAGGTGTTACGATGTTCCGTAGGTCTTTTCACGTTTGTGATCTTACTGCTGACTTTTCTTTCTCACCGTCTTGTCTTCATAGGTTGACGTGTCCCGTTTCCTTCGGTACTTGCAGCCCACTGGGAGTGAGCCGTCTCTGGACTTCCTGTCAAAAAGCAGAGAGACCCGGGACTTTCTGACGGCCCTGAAGCGCACTGACGTGTCTTTAGTCAGCATCCACAATTACATCAAGAGCATGAAAAGGTTCTTAGAGTACTTGACGCCAAGGCTGGACATTCAAAAAAGAGACCCGCAGCTGCGGACCAACTGCCAGAGATACACTAACATGCTGAAGACTGTACTCAAGAGACGTGATGACAAGACCTGTGACCCGAGGTTAATGGCTTAAATGTTCATTTTGCATTGTCCTTTTTTTTTCACTAATGTTATTACATTACATGTTTTAAACAGTAATATCTGAGTCTGAACCTAAAGCAATCTTGACAGCTTAAAGAATCGAGTTTTCATATTTGGTGACTGATTTTTAAAATAATTTTACAGAGCAATTGTAATTTATTGATTTGCTAGAAGAGTCCTCATCACAGTCAGAGAGCGAGTTCTGATCTTTATTTAGAAATAGCGAAGCACATATAAATGCTTGAAAAATCTGTAAAAAACCTCATGTCAAGTGTTCAAAAGATAAGATCCAATCTATTTATTTTTTTTTTTTTGAGAAAAAAGGTTTTGAATTTAAAGAAAAAACAACAGTTTCTACATTTTTGATGCGGCATGAACTATAACGCACATCCATGGTTCTCGTCGCATGTCTTTTTTTAAAGGGTGAATTGAAATCAAATACTGCCATATAGGGATGCACCGATATGAAAATTTTGGCCGATACCGATAACCGATTATTCTTTATTTTTGAAAGCCGATAACCGATATGTTGGCCGATAAATCTATATCCAAATTGTTATATACTTTTTGAGAGCCTGATTACAAAAAAGGTCTCATCATTAAAAGCCACATCCCAAACACTTCAACATAAGCAGCCTAGTTTGAACGGTGTACGTTTTAAAAATATTTTTACTCTCCCATTACCAAATTTAGTCATAAAAAAAGTCTTACAAATAAATAAAATAATGCAGAAATAATGCAAACAAGTCACTGGACATCATTACACATGTAAAGAATCAAAATGAATGCGCCATAGATCAATAAAACGGAATAGCCTCTGCACGGACAATAATTAAATGATTTTAATTACTAAACCATATTGTTGATGAAAATAATAAGAGAAAAATACAAGTGGTTGTTGTTATTAATAATATATCAATGATTTTGAAAAAGTAACAAATTAATACCACTGTTTTAAATAGCAGCCATTGAGCTGCAGCTCAAGCTGAAGCTGAAGAGCTGAATGAACACGGTAAACTGAAGCGTTTTGCTGGCAGCTTATTTAACTCAAGGAAATGCATCCTGAGATTAATATTAATACAACATAAACATAATATTACAACTTATATATGAAATGACAAATGACGCAGTTATTGCATGCTATAGTCAGAATGTGTGATCCTGTTGTGGATGCGCTCTTCCCATAACAACGCGCTGAAACACGGCAACTAAACCCAAAGAATTCACAACGTTTTATTATAATAATGTTCTCATTAGAATGTTATATACACAACATTCCCAATCATAGTTATTAATGTTGTGCACTGCTGTTTGAGCTGCGTGCGCTGAGCTAAAGACGATCACCGGTAAACTGAAGCACTCTTAACTTAACCAAACGCATTCTATATGAGATAAATCAGATATACATCAAATAAACACAATATTACAATGTACAATTGCACAAAAGGCTGCAAACGAACAGCGCGCATCTGAAGTGTCTCTGAAGGAAATAATGCATTATTTATCGGCTTTAAGATATCGGCCAAATTTTCTTATCAGGCCGATACCGATAACTGAAAAAATGAGCCGATATGGGCCGATACCGATATGGTGGCCGATATATTGTGCATCCCTACTGCCATATTGTGCTTTATACTTCTGAATGTGGTGTCTACTTCATAAATATTGAGAAATGTATGGAAAAACGTGTTTCGGATCACTTAAACCATATATGGAAATGGAGGTGCCCTTATTTGGTTACTAATGGGGTTTGATGGTCATCTAGTGGAAAAGCTTGGTACTACACCCAAACTAAATCTCACTGAAAGCTAATTTTTTAACATATCAACCTCAAATTTGGAGTAGGCTTGCCGCAATAGAAGGTGCTGACGGTGATACCGGTGTTAAGCCACAACACCGGTTACGTCACTTGCCCACCGAGGCACCGACCCCCACCGTCGTTTTGATGTTTTTATAGTAATAAAAATTATTTAGATCAGTAAATGAACAGACACTACAATTAAAAACTGAACGCGGCTGCTCAATGCAGCGTGCCGAACAACAGTCGCATCACAGATCAGATTTAAGATTTCATCAGAGTGAGTCGAGCTGACTGACAAGAAGAGTGAGGTGAGACAGACAAGACGATCGCGGATGATTTAGTTTCAAAATGAAATGCAAAAGCGCCTGTTTGGCAATATTTTGGCTTTTGAAAAGCCCGTTGACTTTTGCCGTTTATCTAAGGTGATTTTGGAAGTTTTTTTAAACATTCGTTTCTTCTTTAATTGTTCCACAGTGTTTGCTGATTTTTAGCCTACTTTATTTAAACTTTGTATAATTTATTTATTTTATTTGACATCAAGGTGTATGCCGTGCCTCCAAGCTTTCTTACTCATTTTGCTAATAAACATTCATTCTTATTTATTTGGTTATATATTATACATGTTTACTTATTTCCAGCTTTGTATACCTATTTAAACTTTATGCAAATTATTTTATATTAGGCATAGCCTGCCCTATAGCATGGTGTATTGTTATTAGTTTTGTTAATAAAAGTTCTATGTTTTATATATAGGCTAAAGTGAGTTTGACGTTGTATTTTGTTGTTGCATTCAAGCAATTGACGCCGAATTGCCGCTAATTCAAAAGTGAAAGTAAAATGCGCTTTTAAGCTATATAAAAGCGAAGGAAAAGAGGGAACGCCCCGCCCCCGCGGTGATACAGGTATTACCGGTGTTGTCACACGTCGATTAACCAGTGGGAAAATTTCCTCACCGTCACAACCCTAATTTGGAGCACAACTTACTAAGATTTTGGTTTTGATGTTCTAGCAATTTTAGACCAAAACATGTTTTGCAAAATATATATACAATATAACATTTAAATATTGTAATTTTTATATTTTCATAAACTTAAACGTCCATAACTCTTTAGTAATATAATTTTTATAACTTTTTTCGCCTCTACAATGATCAAGTGCCTTCTTTAAAAAGAGACTAAGCACTGCTCCAAAGCATTCAAAATTTATACCAATTTAAGTTGGAAATGTCATTTTCAGGTCTATGCTCAAAAAGTGGTTAATAACCAGTCTTGTTTGTTATGTTTAATCCAAACACAGACCTGATGGCACTCCCTGCATTAAAGATTGCCAGAAGATTTTGAGAGTGGCAAAGCCAGACTTCCTCAGGATCCATGAGAATCTGCTTATGGGCAAAGTGGTCTCAAATACAAAGAAGACGCTGTACCGCTATTACTGCGAGGCGCTCTTGGTCTTCCGTCACATGCAGAGTCCAGGAGCTGTGGAAGGCTTGACAGTAAGTTCATGTATTTCAATGAGTTTGTACTCATGATATGATGTAGTGTTTGAACACGTATGCAATAGTAAATTAAACCTTTCCAATGTTGCAGGATGCAGACTGGGTAGATAGGATTGCACAAGGTGGCAGGGTGGTGATCGGCGTAAGGAAGAGAAAACGGCAAGTATGCAAATCGCCTTGACACAAGACGAGGAAGCTGTAAGTTTTTGTATGATTTAAAGAGCATATTGCATACCCACCAGTGTTTACATTCAGTAACTCTTTAGTGTTATTCCATAGTGCTTTCAGCTGTACTACAAGGAGATCAGGCCTAAGAACATTGGGCTCAAAAAATTCTGCCAAAGTTTTTTTACTTCTACGTCTGGCGAGGCTGTTCACAGTGTCTCACAAGACATGACTCGCCTCCATGAAATGTAGGTACCAATAGAGACCCATGTGCACTTGTGTAAATGGATACACTTTATTTTGCCTGGTCAGTCACAGTCAACATTTTATGTCACGTTTTCTCACTGCAGGTATAAGCTGACCCCTTTCAGGAGTTATGATGTACGGAGGGCCGTTGAGAACGCTGCAGAAAAGCTCCCAGCGCACCAACATAAGGCCGTGAATCATTACCTGGCCCATAGCACTAGTGCGGACAGAAGGCGACAGTCTCAGGATATTGTGGATGCAGCTATGCTGCTGGACTCCTTGAAGGGGTAGGTCTCTTCATTCAACAAGCAAATAATACACCACCAAAAATTTCTACAGCTGATTAGCTCATTTTCCTTGTATTTTAAACACTGTTTTTCTCACTTACACAGCACTTCTTCGGATGATGACACCTCCTTGGCTGAACTGAGTACTGCTGGAACCAGCAAGGAGCAACACGCTTCGCGGAAAGACTTCTCTGCTTTTCTGGCCAGGTTTCCGGTTTCGTTGGAGGGCCAGCCACCGACCAAAAAGCGGCGGGTCAATTCAGGGTTTCCTAAAGACCGTGTCTTTTACGACAGGTGGAGAGCCACCCAGTATACCCAGAGAGAGGAATATCTGCTGTGTGAGACTCCAATGCATTAATACAGCACTGACACTCATTAACTCGACACAAAATCGGCCATTCATTCATTGTGACAATTTCATTCTTTCTTTCAGCACAATTCACACACCACAAGCCTTCTGCCTCAAAGGTGGCAAGGCTGATTGCGCAGGAGGGGTGGAAGGCCAACTATCCAAAGCCAGAAAAAATCGAACGGCTGTGGAAACCAGCGCCCACAGGCACCATTGAGGCAGATGAGGTTATAATCAAATGTGTGTCTGAGCAGGCCTGGACAGGCCTGGCCGTCAAGGACTTTGGTGCTGAGGAGGGTCTAGGTAAGAAACCTTTTCATTTTCCTTGTAAGGGGAGAAAATACCATCACTTAAATATACATTTCAGCCACCGTTAGCTGCACCAAGAACTAAAAAGTGACCCTGGACCACAAAACCAGCCATAAGGGTCCATTTTTTTTAATTGAGATTTATACATTTATACTTTCCCTTGATGTATGGTTTGTTATGATAGGACAATATTTGGCTAAGATACAACTATTTGAAAATCTGGAATCTTTAAATCTGCCTTTAAAGTTGTCCAAATTAAGTCCTTAGGAGTGCATATTACTAATCAAAAAATAACATTTGACATTTACGGTAGGAAATTTATAAAATACCTTCATGGAACATGATCTTTACTTGATATCCTAATGAT